TTTATTTAAATGGAAAGAATTTTGATGAGTGACGTATTTTTATCTAAATTAAAAGATGTTTGGTAAGTTAGCTACTCTCATTTAAATAGAAAAAAATTTGATGTGTTTGGTTTTTTCATTTAAACGAAAAGAGATTTGATGTAATTAGTACTTTCGTTCAAATAAAAAGAGATTTGATGAGTTTAGTACTATCATTTAAATAGAAAGAGATTTGATGAGTTAGTAACTTTTATTCAAAAGGAAAGAAGTGTAATTTTTTGGGAACTTTTATTTAATTGAAAAGAGATTTGATTAGTTTGGTACTTTTATTCAAATTGAGATAGATTTATTTAATTTAGTACTTTAATTCAAATGCTAAGAAATTTGATGAATTGAGTACTTTTATTCAAATAAAAGAAAATTTGATATGTAAAGTACTTTCAAACAAATTTGAAAAGATTTAATAAGTCGTGTACTTTTATTTAAATTGAGAGAGATTTGATAGGATGAGTACTTTAATTGAAATGGAAAGAGATTTGATATGTTTAGTACTTTTCTTGATGCGCCCGATTCCTTAATAAGTACTCCAGTAGATTATAGTGAATCGAAAAATCTCCTCACGGTTGATATTGAGATTGTTTTTTAATGGGAATGACGATAAGAAAATAAAACACAATAACAAATATATTCGAGCCTAATCAGTACTAAGAAGAACACTTTATTTAGCTCGTCAGAGAAAAGCCTTTCAGCATAAGAACCCTGGTTGATACGTTGACTAAGAATCCGTACAAATAAGGTAAATTCTTGCAACGTGCAGGACCGCTATTGTTCCTTTGTCGCTGGCCGAACTTAAATGATGTAGTATTGCGCAATAAAAATAGTTCTCTTWGAAGTAGTTCTCGCAAGTCTCAGCTTTTATACGTTAGATAAATCTCGAGCAATGAATCACGCGTGATGAACAACGAGTAATGATAGGTGCAAGAACGCGCTGGGCTTTATACAAAAAAGCGATGCCATGCTGGACCAATCACCGATAAGCCCGAGGATACCGCTACTGTCAAAACGTGTGATTGGCGTAATAAATGTAGTGGGAGAACGCGGGCTAGAAGAAAACAGGAACTCTTGCAAACATCTTGTCTCTACCGTAGTTACCAAAAAAAAAACGATACTGCTTTGTCGCACGTGTTTTACGCCTGTGCAGGGCTGTACACGCCCCAGCGCTTCGCCCTACTCACTTGTTGCGTAAGATATGCAACAAACCCCCTCCCCTTGAACATGCATTGTTTAAAATTTAAAATAAATGCAGACACCTAAATACAAATCATAAACTATATACATACTGTTAACAGCATATTACAATACATATTCAGTAATAAACGCTACTAAATTACAAAAAAAAAAATTTTTTTTTTTTTTTATAAAACGCTTGGCACAGGAGAAAGACGTTTAATACCGCGCTTTACAAGACCGTTGGCAGTTTTTACTCTCGCCACGCGTGCTATACTGTCGGCTCCTTTATGTACTTCCGCGTCACGTCCTAATTGCTATTTAATTAGGGGGGAATTATCTTCTTGCAGGATGACTAGCGTACCCAAGCTTATTTCGTATGCTGTGCCTCTGTGCCATTTTTTACGGACCGTCTGCTTGTTTAAATATTCTTTATTCCATCGGTTCCAAAAATGCTGTCTTATCTGCTATTCGTGCTGCCATTGCGAAAGACGCCCGGATAGTATATCCCTGTATTCGTCCTCTGGCAAAATCGTAAACGAATTTCCAATTTAAAAATATCCAGGTGTAAGAGCGCGCAAATCATTCTGTTCATTAGACAGAGGCGTGATAGGACACGAGTTAAGTATTGCCCCTATCTCGAAGACGTGTGTTAATAATGCCTCGTAAGATAGCAATGTCTCGCCTATAATAAAAACTAAATGATATTTAAACGATTTTACGGCCGCCTTTTAAAGACCTCTTAAATAGGGGAAACGTTGTGGGATGAAATGCTACTTGATCCCTTTATTTACAAAAATTTGCGAGACGCGTGATTCTAGTTCGTTCGCCGCACCTACGAAATTAGTCGCGTTGACGAAATATATGTCCGAAAATTTTCCACGGCGTGCAATAAATCTACGCAAGGCTGCTAAAAATGCTTCAGTCGTTAAATCATTCACGAGTTCTAAATGAACGGCCTTTATGCTAAGGAAGACGAATGCCCCCACATATATTTTAGCGCGACCACGGTTCCGATGTGGCTTTTCCTTGAAGAATAACGGTCAGCAGAAGTCCACGCCAGTGTGGAGAAACAAACGATTTGGTAGAAAACGACTGGCAGATAGATCACTCATCGAATATTGCGGCGTAGCGGGTTTTAAACGTCGACAAGTAATGCATTTATATATTACGCGTTTAACGCTGCTTCACCCATTTATTGCCCAAAACGATTCGCGAAGTGCGTTTAAAGTAACTTCCGTACAACCGTGCCCTATATGATAGTGCTTTTCGCGTATTATCGCGTTTGTAAATGTATGGTCTTTCGGTAATAATGCAGGATGCCTTTGCTCGTATAGCTAGTTGCTCCATGCCAATCTACCTCTAACTCTTAATATTCTTAAATTGTCTACAAACGGGCTAAGTACAGAGAATGATGCGCAAACCTCTTTTCCCGACTAGATCAATTTGATGATCTCGGGAAATGCTTCTTTCTGTGTCAATCTAATCGAGACTACTTTCGCGCCTTTTCCATTCGTCTACTGTTAACTCACTTATTATTCTTTTCTCTTTTAAATTGCGCGAATCTAGCGCAATACGCGATAAGGCGCTTTAATCTTACGAACGAGGGGTACCGCCTAAATAGTTCGAATGGAGTAGTTACCTTTGCGTGAGTTACAATCTTTTTCTTTTTCGGGATTTCGATTGGTTCTGATCTACTATGCAGTTAACTTGATTCCGGCTTGATAAGCAATGCAGGACCAGACTTCTATAGTTTACTTTCACGGAGTTCGACAGGTGTAACGCCGCGAGAAATTAAATCTGCGGAGTTTTGCTTGGACGATACATGACGCCACAGCTCGCGAGCTTTGCTCTCTTGAATTTCAGCTACGCGATGTTCTACGTAGGTTTTTAAAGTGTAAGGCGAAGTGTTGAGCCAATGCAAAAGTACAGTGGAATCCGCCTTAAATATTGTACGGCAGAAAATCATTTCTACGCAAAGCGTTTTTAGTAGCCATAAAGAGCCGCGAAAGTAATATACGCCGCAAACTTCTAGGCGCGGAAGCGATTGCATTTTAAGCGGCGCTACCTTGGATTTGGCGCAGACTAATCGTAACATGCGATTTTTTCCCAACGTTTTAACATAAATGCACACGTTTTAAGCCCTTTCGCTCGCGTCACAAAAACAGTGCTTTTCCAGTTTTTCTCCATCACCTGCTACGTTGCGCGCGAACCCTATCTCCTTAAGCGTGTGAAGATTTTGGCGGAACTCTTGCTATATTTTATATATATCGGCTAGGACATTTTCGTCCAACGTTGACTTTAATTGCCATAGCCGTTGCATCATCATTTTTGCGTTGATTACTACCGGTCCTAATAAACCTAGCAGGTCGAATAACTGCGAAATTTCGGACAATATAACGCGCTGAGTAACCTTCGATGGATCAGCTGCTCGCTTTACAGTATAGCCTATGTTATCTTCAGCTGCGTTCCAATAAATACCTAACGTTTTTACCGTTCCTAACGAATCTAAAGTAACGATGTTATTATCTGCGGTATCTAAATCCTTTAGAATCTCGGCGCAATTTGACGCGTATTTCCGCAAAGGCATGCCTGCCCCTGCGGTTATCCTTATTAACTCGTCGCGGACTTGCTTTGATTCCGTAACCGTACGCGCTCCGGGTAAAAAGTCGTCCGCATAGAAATCTTCTTTAAGAACGATGGCAGCTTTTGGGAATCTAAGAACTTCGTCGCTCGTAAATTGATGTAAAGTATGCGTTGCTAAGAACGACGCATAGGCAGTCCCATGAGTTACTGTATTTAATCTATATGCTTTTACAAGCTCACTTTTCTGTCGACGCCAAAGTATAGTTTGGTATTTGTGATCGCACGGGTCAATCATTATCTGCCGATACATCATCGCAATGTCCGCGGTGATAACGATAGCGCGTGATCAAAATCTTACTAAAAGTGCAAACAGAACCTCCTGTATAGTTGGGCTAACCATTAATACGTTTTTCAAAGATTTCCCGTTGATGGTTTTTGCCGACGCGTCGAACACTACTCGCAATTAGGTAGTAAGACTAGTAAGCTTTAATACAGCATGATGCAGTAAATAGAATCTTACTTCGGGGAGTCCCCCTTCTATCCTTGTCATGTGACCTAGTTCTTTATATTCAGATAAGAATTTAATGTAATCATTTCTAATTTCCGGCTTGCGCGATAATGATCGCTTCAAGGCTTGAATTCTTCGTAACGCGCTCGTATACGAATCTCCTAACTGATTTTCTTCCTTAAACGGCTGTCTCACTATATATCTGCCAGTATCATCCCGTCGCGTGTTGTTTTTATAATGTGGTTCGCACAAATTTTCTTCGTGCAACCTAATACTACTGTCAGCTACTTCTTCAATCTTCCAAAATTTTTCTTATTGTGAGTTTAAATCTACCGTGGCCGTGTGGCAATTAACGCTCTGCGGAGTACGCGTGGCTCCTGTGCTTATAACGAGCAATCCTAGTACAGTTTCTTGTGCCATTAAATTTTCATTTAACCTTAAGCTCTGTCCTGCGCGCCATAGTGAAGCAAATATCTCGACACCGAGAATCGCGTCGATATTCAATGGCTCACAAAACATGGGATCTGCCAATTGGATCCCTGCTAGTATAGTCAATTCTTCTCGCGGAATTCGTTGCAAAGGCAACCTATTCGTTACAGTGAGTAATAATAAAAATTGTATTTCTACCGCATAATTTTCTGTTCGCGATTTTAATGTTGCTAAGATTGCCTGTTTGAATCTAGTTTCCGGTTGGTTTACGCCAGAAATGGGTACGTTTACGTCCCGTTTGACTATTCGCAGAAGATTCGCGAAACGGATTGTTAAAAAATGTGCTTCGGAACCCGAATCAAGGAGCACAAGAAACTCGTGCGGCCTGCCGTCGCGATCCAGCAAGTGCACCACTGCAGTAAGTAACAGCGAAGGTGTTTGCGAGTGATGGAGCTCTACATGTGCATTCTGCACCGCCGATGCCGTCCGAACGCAAAAACWCGTGATGCCCGTTTTTGCACATTCTGTAACGGCCTCGCTCACATGTAACAAATTATGATGCCTGCTCTTGCACTTTCTGCAGCAGTCATTTTTAATACATTTGTAGACGCGGTGACCAGCTTGTAAACAATTACAACACAAATTGGCGTTAACTACTATTTTTCTGCGCTCCTCGGGCTCCGCTCTCAGCAGCTGCTCAAACTCCGATGATTTATTCCCCTCGCGACATATGCCACACGAAACAGTCGCGCTTGTGGAATACGCTTGAACTTGTCCTCGGTCGAAGCTTCGCGGCCAATTTCGCCGAGAACTAAGACGCCGCTCGTTACGCATCAAATTCCTTGAGCGAAAATTTCTCTCGGGTCCTAACGGCGCGTTTTTTCTGAAATTGTCAATCCTTTTAGAATTTTTTGCCAGCTTGGAGCTTTCCAGCGCATTTCCCAGATCGCGGGAGGATATCACAAATTCGTTTACCGTTGGTAAAGCATCTCAGGAGTACCGTTGTTCCCATTGAAGACGTGTTGCTGGATCCACTCGCGAAAGATTGGCAGCAATAGCAAATTGATCAAAAAACACTTTTTTAGTCGCTACTAATGCCCTATAATTTGCATTCAGCGTATCAGACGCGGCAATTAAAGACGAGAGAAATTCACTGTCAATCAGAGGACTCACGGGCTTATTTATGAATAATAACAGATTGTCATAGCACTCGACTAAGGTCTTCCACGCAATCGGATAATTATCCGCGGTAATTTCCAGAACTCTTATTTTCTCCGCGGCGGGTCCCGATAAGCATGATTTTAAATATGCAAACTTCTGTATATCTCAAAGCGCGGGATTATCTCGTATCAACGATTAAAACGTGTCTGCGATACACGACGATTTTTCATGCTGCCCGTCAAAATGAGGTAATTGTACCGCCGGTGTGCTGTAAATGCTATCTACGGACGGACTGCTTACTGTATTTCTAACTTGAGAAGACAGACTCGTAATTGGCGAATTTGTGTCTTAGGTGGCTACTGATTCAGCTCTATTATTGATCAACTCCGCCTCCGCCTTAGCATCGATGACTGACTCGACATGATAGTGAATTTCGTTAACTAGCGTTCCCATTGCTTCACCAGAAGTTTTCTCTATCAACTCCTCAAATATTACTACATTCTTTTTAACTTTGGAAATTCTAAGCTTTAATTTTCTTATATCGCGCGGGCTGGAACGATCTATCTCTCTCACCGCTTTTTAAAATTGCGCGATTTCTTTCTTTATATACTCGAATTTCATTACAACGCGCTCGACACCACCACGTGCTCTACTCAAACGAGGCATTTTCACGACAGAAAGCGAAATTAAAAAGAGAAAAGAGGAGCAAAAACACGACTTTAAAGAATTATTAAGCAACAGAAATTACAAAACTCACGTTAATCTCCTGAATAAAATGTCCCGTGCAGCGTACTCACGCACTGGAACAATAGAATCTTCTCAAGTATTAGTTATGACGCAATACCTCCTTCGTTGCTCGATCGGAAGTCTTCCGTTGCCTCTTTCTCCTCCGTTAAAGAAGACTGTATGTAAAATAGACGCCAGACGAAGAGTGGGGAGGAAGCTCCCGTTCCGTATCGAAAGACCAAATATGTTGATGCGACTGATTCCTTAATCGGTACTCCAGTGGATTGTAGTGAATCGAAGAATGCCCTCACAGAAAATATTGCGAGTTTTTATTAATAGGAAGGACGATAGTAAAATAAATCACAGTTACAAATATATTTAAGTTCAGTCAGTACTAAAAAGTACGTTTTATTTTGCTCGTCAGGAAAAAGCCTTTTGGCATAAAAACCCTGGTTGAAACGTTGTCGAAGAATCCGTAAAATTCAGGATATTATTGGTTACGTGCATGCCCGCCTTTGTCCCTTGCCGCTGGCTGAGCCTAAATGATGTAGTATTTCGCAATACAAATAGTTCTCCTCGAAGTAGTTCTCGCAAGTCTCAGCTCTTCTACGTTAGATGAATCTCGAGCGATGAATCACGCGTGATGAATCACGAGTTATGATAGGCGCAGGAACGCGCTGGGCTCTATACAAAAAAGCAATGCTATGCTAGACCAATCACAGATAAGCCTGAGGATAACGCGGTTGTTGATACATGTGATTAGCGTAATAAGTGTAATAAGAAAACGCGAGCTAGAAGAAAAAAGGAGCCCTTGCAAACATCTTGACGCTACCGTAATTACCATCAAAAACAACGTTAATGCTTTGTTGCATGTGTATTACGCCTTAGCAGTGCCGTACACGCTCCTACTTACTCGTAGCGCAGGATACGCAACAACTTTTATTAAAATAGAAAAAGATTTAATGAGTTAAGTACTTGCATTCAAATATAAAAAAAATTGATGAGTTTTATACTTTTGTTTAAATAGAATGAGATTTAAAGAATTGAGTACTTCAATTTAAATAGGAAAAGATTTAATTTGTTTCATAACTTTACTGAAATAGAAAGAGATTTGATAAATTATAGCCTTTAATTAAATGGAATAAGATTTTGTAGGTTAAGTACTTTTATTTAAATCGAAAGAAATTTAATGATTTAAGTACTTTCATTCAAATTGAAAGAGATTTGATAAGTAGAGTATTTTTCATGAAATAAAAATAGATTTGTTGAATTAAGTATTTTAATACAAATAAAAAACAATTAAATAGAATAGGTACTTTCATTCAAATGAAAGAAAATTGTATATGTTTAGTGCTTTCAAACAAATAGTAAGAGATTTGATAAGTCATGTACTTTCATTCATATAGAAATGGATTTGATAAGTAGAGTACTTAAATTTAAATAGAATGATATTTGATAAGCTTATTACTTTTATTTAAATGGAAAAATATTTCTTGATTTACGTACTTATATTCAAACAGAAAAAGATTTGATAAGTTAGAAACTTTCGTTAAAATGAAAAATGATTTAAGGAATTGAGTAATTTTAATCAAATAAAAAGAGTTTTGATGAGTTAGTTACATTCATTCCAATAAATAGAGATATGATTTGTT